CACCTATTGACGAGAGAGTGTGCATAGCAAAACAATAAATGCATGTTTTTAGCACTGGATGAGAAAGTAGCTCCCATAATCAGGCAAATTATTATTTTCACATTTAAAAATCACTATATTATTTAATTGCTACTTTATGGAAAACGACTTGCTTTTGGTTATAAGTATCCTTACATTTTTGGCTAGGATGAAGTAAATTTAGAATATTTTCAGCTAAATTTTCATTTCATAATTTAGTTCGTAGTCAAACTACCAACATACTGTGCATTGAAAACTTTGATCAACTAAAAGATCTTGATAAGTTTTTCTCAGGTTTCGCTAACTATTATAAATCATTACTGAATGTCTCTACCGACAGGCACAAACATCAAATTTTCGTACGCAAGGACAACTACGATCTCATGGTCAGTTCACTAATCACTACATCGCCCACGGTTATGTAATCTTTTTGCTTACGTATCATTCAATAATAATTGAACTTTAAGCTCAGGCTTACCTTGGTGAAGTTCTTATCGCTAATAACACGGATATACTCATTTGTATGAACATATTCTACAACACCACAGACTTTTTTCAAATGGGTGTCTTTTCAAAATGCGTGAGAAGATTATTTGAAGTTAATTCAGAACATGTCAAAATCTACCCTAAGGTGTAGCTCTGCAAGTCGTTCTGTAAGAACATGATGATAGTATTTTTTGCAGGGCACCGCTTGGGTGCGTGACATTTGGCTGACTAACAGCATGTGGAGCCTGAGTGATTTTATGTTGCATGGTTGCAAGGGTAATGGCTCCGTTGCAAATACAAAACCAAGGTGGGTTATAACGTCGTGCCTTCTATAACCAACACATGGAAGTGGCTTTGTGCTTTGTGCTGTGCTTTTCGAAACGAACAGATATCAGTGCTCCCATGTTGGCTGCCTATGATAAGTTTCAAAACTATCCATCAAATTATCAAAAATTTGTTTATTATTGAAATGAACGAAGCGAAAACATCTTTAAATGTGAGAGTACACTAAGGTGCAGTCAGCCCCACATTTCAGGATAGCTGAAGGGTCCAGTCGTTTTTGGTACAATCCCTATAGTAAACCATTCGATTTTACCGAGTGTGTTCTTGGGTAAGTAATTATGTTTTGTTTCTTACTAGATACACATTAGTAGAATCCGCTCAAATGCGGTTGTGATGCTAAGATTTCGAGGTGTCAGATTGGAATGAAATGGTCACGGTATGACAACAAGGCAAATCTCAGAAAACTTTATGGGATACCATTCAAGAGAAAGGAAGCTTTATAAAAGACAGTACTGCTTTTACACTAATTCAAACCGTGTAAATTTCGAATCTGAAATGTTTTAGATGATGGAAAAATCAAGAAAAAACGCGTATTTCCGTCCCAAAAACTCTACCAAACCTCGGAACTTGCCCACAGGCGTACATTCCCCGTTAAGCAATGGTATACGCAATTGCCGTAATTTTTCGTGGCTATACGTTGACAAATTGAAAATTATCACATTTCGGCGAAGTTTCGATGGGCTATTTTCGCAGAAGTGATTAAGTGCTCTATACTACTCGAACTGGGAAGTGCAGTCTGAATTTTCAGCCTTCTACAAGAGTTAGTTCTTGAGAAATATCCAACTCAGCTCTTTTCCCTTGTTTGCTTTGAATCAAATCAGATGTCTCTCGAGAACAAACTCTTGTAGAAGGCTGAAAATTTATGGTTGTGCATCCCAGGATAGGTGTAGAATCACGGAAGCAGCTCAGCATCGCTTTGACAGAAGCATGGAAACTTTTCCTTTTTCGATGCTTAGCCTTGAAAAAAATTGCAGCAACTGCTCATACAAATGCCCAATGTGGATGTAAGCCAGGAGGCAAGTCCGGGGGTCCGTAGAAATTTGAAGGAAGTGCAAGTTTTTTTT